TATATATATAAGCATGCACGTCCCCGCGCGTTTGCCGGGTTTCATCAATACATTACCAACCCCAGAGGCGTAGCGACCCTTCCCGGCGCCCGGGGACAAACTTTTCGATTTGCACCCCCCCCCTCGAGATTTCGATTTGCACCCCCCCCCCCCCCTCAAACTTTCGATTTGCACCCCCCCCTCTCGAGATTTTCGATTTGCATCCCCCCCCTCAAACTTTCGATTTGCACCTCTCTAAACCTTTCAATTTATTTTTCCAACCCATTTTGGCGCCCCCCTAAGGTCGGCGCCCGGGGACATATGTCGTCCCCCCCCCCACCCCCCCCCCCCTCGCTACGCTACTGACCAACCCTATATTCTTACGCGTGTGACTTTTTTTTTCTAAAACTGAGTTATTATTGTAAACACTGCCTGCGCTTGGGTAATGTTTATCGGGGCATGGGTTTACCTACACTACAGCATGTAAGCCTTGAGTGTAAGTTAATCACTAACCGTAATAGTGCGGTAAAACACACCTCGGTGACCGCCCGGGGGTCAGGGATAGCCCAGGGCGCCAAATTGAACTCTACGGGGTGAACGACTATAACGCCCCATCTTATCCATAGTCTATCACACTGCTTAATACTTTAACACAGCGCTCACGGGAAAGACCGGTGTGCCGGGGGCCGCCCATGCGAAATTGATTTTTTCCCCGCAGAAATATTCTCGGGAGTATTCTCATTTACTCCCCAAAGTTGAATGGTGTCAAACCGCAATCGACTCATTATTTTGCAGAAACCTCCCCAGGAGTATTCTCAACAACTTCCCAAAGTTTCAACGCGATCGGATGAAAGGTGTAAAGTAAAGTAAAGTTTCCCTTTCAAACCTGACGGTCAATGGGGCAAGTGAAGTAGAGTTCACTTGTCCATCCAACTCTGATGGGTACCTAACTCACGTTAGGGGGAGTAAAGGCGGCTGAGCATAGTGCTGACCACGCTATCTCTTCATATGCCGAGGTCACAGAAACAGGTGAACTCTACTTCCCTTTGAAAGGGAAACTTTTTAACTTTTTTTTACGAATTATGTACCTTTATTGTTTCCTAAGCACGTCACATGATCACACCGTGAATATTCCAGCCAACGAATAAATTTATCCTAACAGTTGATGGTGTGTTGATGTTGTCTTGATGTTGTCTTGATGGTGTGTTGATGGTGCGTTGTGCGCAGCTACATATTCATGGTCTCAGAAAAAATGTTTGGACTAGTTTCGTATGTCAACACTGGGAGCAATATGTGTGGGGGGTGGGAGGAGGGGGGGGGCACCGTGTTATTAATTCAGGAAATAAAAACGTACACATGTAATGACATTTTTTTATAGGAGGTACGGTCATCTTGTATATAACAACGCTAAGTCTAAAAACGAGTTATTGTATTAATTAACAGCCAGCGATGCGAACCATTGCACCCTTCCTACCCCAGATATAAAAACTGTATTGATTAGTTCAAGTGGCAGACTATACTAAACGCGCGAGTAATTAATAACACGGCAGTGATTAAAATCTTAATTTGATACCGGAGGAAGTTACGATTAGGTTCCGGGCGAGAACCAGTAAACAATTTCGTGCAGGATAAAATTTTATTTTTTTACCCAATTAGTTGCAGAAAAAATGAAACTTACTTTTTACCGAATTAGTTGCAGAAAAAATGTAACTTACTTTTTACCGAATTAGTTGCAGACAAAAAATTAAACTTACTTTTTACCGAATTAGTTGCAGAAAAAATGTAACTTACTTTTTACCGAATTAGTTGCAGACAAAAAATTAAACTTACTTTTTACCGAATTAGTTGCAGAAAAAATGTAACTTACTTTTTACCGCATTAGTTGTAGACAAAAAATTAAACTTACTTTTTACCGAATTAGTTGCAGAAAAAAATTAAACTTACTTTTTGCCGCATTAGTTGCAGAAAAATGTAACTTACTTTTTACCGTCTCGTTGCAAACGAAGTTGTAAAGATGCCTGTTTGTTTCTTCATGATTATGTGGTTGTGTTGAGGAAAGTGGGAGGGGGTTCTACATAAATTAAATCCACACTACTGAAAATCAATATCCTAAACTTTTAAAATAAATGTTTCTTTTTATAATTCAAAACTGCAACTAAAATTAGCTTTTAATTTTTTTTCCAACCCATTTTGGCGCCCCCTAGGGTCAGCGCCCGGGGATATTTGTACCCACCCACCCCTCTTCGCTACGCCTCTGTGACAGACGTCCATCAGCCAACAGCCGTCCATCAACCAGCCCAACATGACAGACGTCCATCAACCAACAGACGTCCATCAACCAGCCCAACATGACAGACGTCCATCAACCAACAGACGTCCATCAACCAGCCCAACATGACAGACGTCCATCAACCAACAGACGTCCATCAACCAACAGACGTCCATCAACCAGCCCAACATGACAGACGTCCATCAACCAGCCCAACATGACAGACGTCCATCAACCAACAGACGTCCATCAACCAGCCCAACATGACAGACGTCCATCAACCAGCCCAACATGACAGACGTCCATCAACCAGCCCAACATGACAGACGTCCATCAACCAACAGACGTCCATCAACATGACAGACGTCCATCAACCAGCCCAACATGACAGACGTCCATCAACCAGCCCAACATGACAGACGTCCATCAACCAACAGACGTCCATCAACCAACAGACGTCCATCAACACGACAGACGTCCATCAACCAGCCCAACATGACAGACGTCCATCAACCAACAGACGTCCATCAACCAACAGACGTCCATCAACCAACAGACGTCCATCAACCAGCCCAACATGACAGACGTCCATCAACCAACAGACGTCCATCAACACGACAGACGTCCATCAACATGACAGACGTCCATCAACCAACAGACGTCCATCAACCAGCCCAACATGACAGACGTCCATCAACATGACAGACGTCGTGTTTCAATTGCCCCTCCCTTACATATATGTCCGAAAAAAAGACTGCTGATTCCCCATCCTCCTGTTCATTTTCACCTGACCGCCGCTGTTGTCTCCCCCCCCCCCCCCCCCACCACCAACGCTAGCTCTGATTAGTAAGCCCACGAACAGACACAGACGCACTGCACGTGATACATGCACCAGCGATAGCTCAACCCCATATAGCTCTTTTATATATTCCTGAAAGATCTATCTATGTAATTCTCTTCATGGAGACCATAGAAAACACCACGCAGCTTAGCCACCACCCCCATCCCCACCTGTCAGGTGAGCTGTGGTTCACCCCGAACGTTTACAATAGTAGAGCCGGATCGAATACGTGACGGCTATTAGGGCCAGATAATTTAGTTTTTAAACTATTTGAAACCAATGGGAGATAATAAGTTCTGCTTGATATTTTCATTGTCGTCTGTAAACGGCTGCTTTCACTGGGCAAGAGGGCGGCAGGGGATAGTGTTGAATTCACAAATTATGAATTGCTGATAAGCAGAAAATAAAACAACTAGATGGCGGCGTATACTACGTCGCGGGTCAGCTTAGCCGTTCCTACCCCGCTCTCTAGGCATATATAGCTACCACCCCCACCAGTCTGGTGAGCTTTGGTTAACACTAAATGTTAACAATCGATTTGAAACTAAGGGGAGGTAATAACAAGTTCTGCTTGAACTTTTCATTGTCGTCTGTAAACTGTCGTTACGGACGGCTGCTTTCATGAAGGGGGGGGGGGGTGGAAAGTGAGGATGAGGATAATCATCCTTCACGAACAACTGATACACTGATAGTGTTTAAAAAAAAAAAAAGATTTTATAGATCAAGAGGATAGCGCCGTTTGGTTTTTAAATTTTACTTTTTCGATTAGATTTAATACCCCCTTACGTTAGAGTTGCAGCTTTAAGCTTATTTTTAAAAATTATATTAAGAGATCTTTACTATGTTTTATTCAAGTTCCCGATTTAGTAGACCATAACTAGAATCTATAATAAATAGTCAGCCCTGCCAAAGATAGACCCGTTCTCTTTAGACATTAACATCATACTTTTAGATGCAACCAATGTCACGTGACACTGCGCTTAACGATACTTTCTATACAACATTGTAGTCATTAAACGTTTAAAGATTCTGCATGTTCTTTTGATTTATATGGAATTAAGATATTTTAAAAATAAAACTTAACTAATTGTGTCTTTATAGCAATGACAATTTTAATTGTACTTAATTAAACTAACAGGTTATTCTAAAATATAAATATCGATACCACAGTATCTAGTTGGTACTCTAGTCGGCTACCCACTTCCTTTCTTTTTTTCTTCATCGGTAGGTGAATGTCTCACGTTTTATTAGAACTGGTTTATTTTCTTTTGTTTTCAAATCTCTGTCGTATTGATTAAAGTCGGTTACAAACACTTACATTGTAAGGACTCAACATTTCGGGGTTATAGTTTTTAATTTGGATTTACATGTTAATTTTGTTGAAATCAAATTGGGGATAAGGTGTGCTCGCCACCTGTTTTCGATAGCGTCCGTGATAGATCTAGATCTATTCTAGATTCTAGTACCATTCACAAGATTTTAAATTTTTTTGTGGTGTAGCTAGATCTAGTGCTTGAACATACTTATAAAGGCCTAGAGAAACTAAGAAATGCAATCTTAAGTTAATATTAAAATCATCAGTTGTTAGATTATTAGCCTTTATATAGCCTACTTTTAAAAATACCGGTAGTTTCAGGCTCATGGGCTGCTCTGAATAATGGGGGGGGGGGGGGGGTGTTATACAGCCTGTTCATTAGACAATCTAGATTTACTACACATACACCTGTACCTGGTTAAAAAATGTTAACTGTTCTCTGGAATTCGTCCAGATTGTTAGCCATCTGAGACATCTACTTAATTTTCCCTCCTCACTAATTTTTTAGACTGAGAAATTATTTGTTTGCTGTAAAATTGATTGTTTTCTTAAATTGTGTGAAGGCCTAATTTTATTTTAACTTTATTAATTTTCAGGATACTGTTGTAAAATGCAGATCTTCGTGAAGACCTTAACAGGCAAAACCATCACCCTTGAGGTTGAGCCATCTGACACTATTGAGAATGTCAAGGCCAAAATTCAGGATAAAGAAGGTAAAGAAAATTCCAGTTGTCAACCTGATCTCCATTGAGATAGCATAGCCTACTCACTATTGTAGGGCATTTGTAGGGCTTTTTTTTCCCCATTCATTTGCTGGTGATATAATTACAATTTTTTCTTGTTTCCGAGCTTAACACATACTACTGGGGTTGAAACCAGGGTGTTGCTGCTGTTTTCTATTGCCTTTGTTTTTATAAGAAAGTAGGCCAACAGTTATTGATATTTTAATGTTTCTCATTGCAGGTATCCCACCAGACCAACAGAGATTGATCTTTGCTGGCAAACAGCTGGAAGATGGTCGCACTTTATCAGACTACAATATTCAAAAAGGTGGTGTTGTGGTTTCAGCCTTAATTCTTAAATAATAGCAATCTTGTATAAATTAGCCATGTCTATTAATTTGTAATGCTTTTAGACTTAGAGGCAACCATTATTGATCACAAGATATATTCACTCCAAGGTTTGGATGTAGAACTTTTTATTGTTGGGGATTGTACAAGATATCTCTTACCCGTTTCAGTGGCATTCGGTTTTTGATACCGTGCAACATTAACTGCTTGACCTAGTTACTGCTAGTTTATAATCTCCTGTTACTGTTTTTTTCCGGGCTAATGCCTTTGTATTGTACTTTCAATACCTGCTTAGAATGTATAAAATTTTATTTTAATTTGCTGTTTCTTTCTTCAGAGTCAACTCTTCATTTGGTATTGAGATTGAGAGGTGGTATCATTGAGCCCTCCTTGAGAATCCTGGCTTCAAAGTTCAACTGTGACAAGATGATTTGCAGAAAGTGAGTAACTCTGTTGCTAAAGCTGTGCTGTGTTAGATATCTTAAGTACACCTTATAACCTCTGTAGACTCATAATTAAAAAGTAAAATTAATAGCTAACAAGTTAGCCTTTTCTCTGTATTCCAGGTGCTATGCTCGTCTGCATCCTCGTGCCACTAACTGCCGTAAGAGGAAGTGTGGTCACACAAGCAACATCCGCCCCAAGAAGAAGCTCAAGTAAACTTTTTATTCTCATGTAGGCCCAACTGCGTGCTGTTATTGGAGGAAGTTTACACTGGCAAGTTTGCTTCTGGGGTTCTCATGACAGTCAATAAATTTTGTTGCCTTTATTTGCATAGAATTTTCTTCTTGTGTTCTTTGTGGTCTGAATGTTTTCTGAAGTTTAAGTTGTCTGAGCTGATTTGACTCTGCTTTTATAAATAAAACATATCTTATTAGTGAAGTTGCTGACATCTGGTCTGTCAAGAGTATCAGTCATACTATTTTTATGATCTATCATTCTCCTTTGAACAGTTAATCCAGCAAGCCTTAATGTGTGGGACAGACATGTTAACAGATGTTTTATATTTAGTATAGCTCACTACTTGGATGTATAATCAGAAGTAGCCATTCATCTTATCCTACTTTATGGCATAAATGTTGCTTACCACCACATTTAGAAATAGATTTTTTAAATTAGAAAAATACAGTTGGGTACAGATTTTCAATGGTTCAGTACTTGTCAATTTTACCCTCCTGAAATTCCCCAAGAATTCTCATGGGGTCTATGTAGGGTAGGTAAAGCTCTTGGTTGCTAAGCTGTAATGTCATGAGTTCAAACTTCTGGGTAGATGAGGCTTGATAATAGTGTACAACTGCTCAATGATTATAGATTTCTCCAATATCAAACAGTTGCTAACTAGTGTGTTCTTGGTTAGACAAACACTGGAAGATAATCCATTAGAAAAGCAGGCTGAAATCTGGGTCACTTCCCTATATGGTGCATAAAAATAGTGTTGAAGAAAGTTCCTTTGTACCTTTCAAGTAAGGACTAGAATTATTATAAAATTACAAAGTTATCCTGTAATTTAGTCACAACAAAAATAAGTAAAAAAAAAATTCAAAATTTACTATTGCTGGGTAATCATATAACTGAAAACAACTTGCTTTCTCAGTATATTGACAGTATATTTTTAAAGCTAATCAATTACTAGCATGCCTGTTCTCTGCGATTTGCTGCAGTATCAGAAGAAAAGCGAATGCAATTTTTCAAGAGGATTTCATCAATGGGTTGCCAATCCTGTAGTTTCAGATGTGTTGTCTTAGTTATCTTAAATAAAATTGAATAAACCAAGAAAGTGCCATATTTCTTGGATCACAATTGTTGGGGTATGATTTGTCCTGATTCAAAATAGTCAATGATTATTGTTTCCCATTGTATAAGTATACGTCGGTTCCAGAGTGCTCGTGGCCATCGTGGGGGTGCTTGGGTCACTAATCGCTGGGATGCTGGTAGATGAACCTTGAGCAGTTTTTAGCGCTGAATCAAGTAGTACCCCTGACCCACTATGCAGGACGCCAAATCAATGGATTCCAAGTGCTAAGATAGAAAATTAGTGTCATCCCTAAGACAGTTTAATTATTTTTCCCTAGAAACCTTCCCAGGAGTATTCTCATCAACTGCTTAAAGTTTCATGGCCCTCTGCATCCAACTTTTATTTTTATATACTATTATATACTGTTTACAGAGAAGAACCCTGCTGGTGTGCCGCCCTTGGGAGATCAAAAATAATTTTTTGCAGAAACCTCCCCAGGAGTATTCTTAACAACTTCCCAAAGTTTCATGCCGGTCAGATTGTGTGAAAGGTGTAATAATAATGCATATACAATTATATAGGACAAACCTACTAACATACTTTAATTTTCATACAAATAGATTATAAAGGTAGTATATATTTGTTTTATTTTTATTCTTTTTTGTTAGCAACTATGAATTTACACAATTCAAACTGACCATTTTAAAAAGCAAAACATTTAGTGCTTTTTCTTAATTGCATCCTGTTGGTTTTTTTAAGAAATGGACATCATGTACTACTCTGTATAAAAAGATATTTGCTGATCAGTAAATAATCTATCTGAACTCTTAAAACATCAGTAGTCTACTTGTGAAACCAACTGAAATTAATGTCCTGTTCTTTTCTTATGTTAATGGAATGTATTTAAAATTAGTAGAATCACTTGGACAGCTTTTAATGCAGTTGTATGTATATTTATTTCAGTCATACAAAGTATAACTGATTTGAATTCTTTACACAATTTTAATTATACAATTACTACAAATAAAATGATTTTTATTTTTGCTGCACCTATAAAAAAAAGAACTACATTTATTTTTCCTCCTTAAGCATGAAATTTGTTTTTAATTTGAGGTACATGAACCCTGCCTGCACAAATTATTGATACATCTACCTTTAGTCAAAACAAGTTGTAACAATCTCCTCCTCATATTGATGTTTTCATGCTATTAAGTAAAAGATTAAAATATTTTCAACATATGCACGGTTGCTGTGAGAAAGATGCTGCCATAACAAAGTTCTGATGTCATGGTTTGTGGCTGACTTAGTCAGCAGTTATAGAGACCATTATGACATTCCATTTTGATTTGTTATAGCCCCTGCAGATGATTGGCAATGGCCTTGCAGAATATAATGTTAGAATTTGTTGTTGTCTTAGTTTTATTACATACCTAACACTTTGGTATATGCTCTTGTGTAAGTTTGTATACTGATCTTAGATCACTCATGATACCAAGTTTGATGTACACCATAATAGAGGCATCCTGTTTTGAAACATATTACCCCAGTGGCATTACCATATTTCTAAATGAGAAATGTATATCTAGCTATTAGAAAAAAAACTGCCTATGATTTGTCCATTCAGTCTGTGTTATCTTAGCCTGAGGCGGGACAATTTGTCTGGGCTTCTGTCTAAGTTGGTTCCGTGGAATTTCAGTGGTTTGTGCTTCACTGGCAGGATAAAAATTGCACAAAATATTCTGCCCAGTGGTCCTGACTTCACAGTGACTGCGCAAGAACTTGTAATTTATGTAATGCTGATCAATTGCAGTCTTTGAGACTACAATCTTTAAAACTTAACAGGTTTAGTGTCACGGTTCATCATATATCTAGGCTAGCTTTATTTCTTGTAGGACTTTTTGAAACAAGTTCCACCAGCTGAAATAAAAACACAAGTCTTGATTACACTTTGTTATAAAACTTTTATTATTTGACCAACACAAAAATTGGACATAGAAATCAATATTGCACTAAAGTAGTATTAGTTACATGTGTGGATATTTTTTTTTAATTTGTTTTTTTTTTAATTGTCCGAAAACAGCTGACAATATTATACAAACATATATGGGAATGCATCATTTCTCCATAGCGCTGCCATTGGTCCAAGCAATAAAAATGCCGTAATCTAAAAGTCTACGTAACGAAACGAATGGTACAAGAACAAACAAGATACATCCATAATGGCATGGTTACATTGTTAACAAAGATATTTAACAACCGCATTAGTTCAACAAAATGAAAAATAATTTAAAAATTTAAAGCATGAGTATAGTTTGTCGGGGTTTCAGAATTTTAAAGTTTGAAAGAATTTGTTTTTCTACATTTTTTAAATAGGCATGAGCCCTAAAGGCTAACAGTTAATACTCAGCAGCTATTGAAACATAAACTTGGATGGAGTTGGTACACATTTTTTTACCCTCAGACTATCAATACAAGGAAGCGCATCTGTTCACAAACTAATGAACAGACAAGGCTCGGAGTGAAGAATTCCGAGTTACAATTTAAAAAAATGAAATGTAAACAGCTGTAAGAATACGGCAAGTATTTCTGACTCCCATTGCATGATGTGTAGGGTAAGGCAATAGTCAAAAACTCCTTTAACAAAAAGCGTTGTTTGTAAAAAAATAAATTCAAGCAAAGTAATGAAAATTTAAGGGATGAAAACATCTGGTTGAATAAAGGGTAAACATTTGCTAAAGTAATAGTCTAGTATCAAATTATAGTTAACAGAATCTACTTTAATTTGATTAGTTTTACTTTTAAATTAGAAACAATTTTTTAATAGTAATTATAAGCTTATAATAATTAATGTTTTATTATTTATTACTACAAAAAAATGCCAAACAAACACTTAACAAAAATTTAAGCCAGTTTACTTTAAATAAAAACAATATTAAAAACAAAAATTTGGGCAGAAAAAATCAGCCTCGTAATTACTTTTTCCGAAGATAAGTTTATAATATGATTATTAATAATTGACATTTGTTGAAAATATGAAGTTAACAGTGAACATTTTTATACAGTTATAAAGAAAGCTTTTGATTTGAAACAAGCAATGGACAGAGATTACAAATAAAGTACATCTGGGACATATCCGACAACGAAGATCTAGCCTTTTTATTGGTTACCAGTTCTGCACCGAACTTGAGAGAAATGGGGAAGTTTAAAAATTAGAATTAGTCATGCCGTTGACGTTCTAATAATTTAATTTTTTGACATTTTAAAATACTTCAAGTTCTGTGGTCACTATTTTTTAAATCACTTTTCATGTGAGGGGTTGTCCATAAATGATGTCACCCTTATATTATTTGAAAGAGTGAGGAGGGGGATGGATTCTTGGTAGCATTCAGGGGGGGGGGGAGGAGGCAGGGTTAAGGAAATTAGAAATATGTACGTATATATATAAATGCATGTATGTATATTTAGGCTTATGATAAATGGAAAACTTTAATTTACATTTGGAGAAGAAAATGGGAAGGGGGGATGTGTTTTGTGAAAGCATTTGATATGGGGGGGGGGGGGGGACTGGACGGGGACACCACGACTCTAAAATAGCTGACCTTATTTATGGACAACCTCCAAGAAAAATAAATCTTGATACATTAACTTTGATAACTGGTTGCATGATTTATTGACATATGGGAGTCAGAGAGATCGGCATGACTAATTTAGGAAACAAACCCTCATGACTACAAAAACTGAACTATGTGTGATAACTGGCCGACTAAAAGCAATTAAGTTACATGGAGTTTTCCATCTACTAAAAAAAAAATGACTCAATGTTGTGAAGATGAAGCAGTGAACAGTAGCGTTAGGCATGTTTTAAATGAATTTATTTTAAGTAGTTTCGGTCTCCTTCCACAGCTACATTGGTGACAGATGTATTGAGAATGGAATGATAAATAATTATGAATGAAATGACAAAAAACCTTAGCAGTGACTGGATGGTACCAACAATAGAAACTATTTACATATTTACAACAAGAAAGTTTAAAAAATTAAATGTTTAAGTATTATGGAATAAATAAGAGGACGTTTACTCAATAGTATTAATATGGATTTGTTCCGCTGCCATTTTAAGTGCATCTTTTTGTTGTAGTTCTTACTTCTTTTTTTTTTCAAAATTTATATTGTGTGCATCTCTTGAATTTTATTTACAGTACAGCATATTATTTAAAGTATATTATAGTAAACTTCTCAGTGTAGTTCTGGGTGTTATTTTTTTTCTCTCTCTCGCAAAAACTTTAATTCAATAAATTAACAATGCCCAATCAGTTATTTATAAAAAAAAAAAAATTGAAAAAAAAAATTGAAGAGATACACACAAGGATGAATTTCTTCTTCAGTTTGTGGCACATGATTGAAAGCTTCAACAGTCAGAGGAAGGGTCTCTTCTAGAGGTGTGGCACCACGCTAGCCATCTTTGTAAAATGATGTCTCCGTTAATAAATAGTTAATCACAATAACAAGAAATGAGATGATCACTAGTCTATGACACCAGTAACATTATGGTATCAGAGATAGCATCACAATATTGATGAAGGATGATATTCAGCTGAAATGACAAAATGATGGTATGATAAACTGATAGAGGCTGATATGTATCAAATAAATTACTTGTAATTACTTTCCTCAAACATTTTCATTGATAAAAAGAATTATTTTTTTTACTCCATCATGAATCAGAGACAAAGAAATATGTTTAACTCCCCTTAAAGCATATTACTTCCCTTGAATATACATAACTTGTTCATGGTAACCCAACATTTAAGCTTTTTAAAAGAAGAATCTAGCAAAAAAACCCAGCTTAATTGCCGTTTTAAGCCACGCGGAAGTAAGACTGATAAGATGCACTTTAAAACCATTTTAAAAGATTTCGCTTTTTTTTTTTTTGCTAAATAATTTCATATTATTAGTTTATTAAGTAGTAAAAACTAATTTAAAAAAATTAAATTCACACACAAAAATGTGCAATGTAAATATAAAAATGGTAACAATTGTGTGAAACTAATGGCAAACTATTTTAACATCATGTTTGTTTATATTACACATTATATTTAATTAAAAAATTAAGTAGTATTTGAAGATTGATTAATAAACAGATGTAAAAAAGAAATGCAATTCATAGAAAAACTGGCTGTTGTGCATCATAAACTTATGATTGCATGCAACTCGTGTGTGCATATTAAGAAAGTGAAAGTATATAATCTGGCCAATTACACTAAAATTGGCCAGGGAACTAATGATTGGCATTAGGATTAAAGGATTATGGCTTTTTTTGTAAAGGAATGATATAATATTATGGATCTACATAATAAAGGAATGGTATAATTAGTAAAGAAACAGTAGAAAATTATGTTGGCATGTAGTAGAACAATGGCACGAGCTGTAGTTAATAAAATGTTACAAAAGATATGGTTGTGTATTTCAACTCAGGGAATGGTAGGTACAAGATAATGGATGATAAGTGATCCATGATAACTATTAAATTATACAAAGTTAGGCCAGTATGTAGGAATGTTGCAAAAATTATTTAAATGCATTGAAAGAAAATATCTGGTTAGCTTAGTAGACATAAAAAAATTAAATCACAAATTGTGAAACGGACGAGTAAAAACAAAGATAAAATAATTTGGACAGCAAAAATTAAAGAAAAAACATGAAAGTAATACTGTTCCAAGCCTACATCTTTCACAATGACACCACAGAAGGATCAAGTATAAATAAAGGAATGCTATGTACAGTGAAATGATATGTTCATGTTTAATGGTCTTCAGTTTCTTGTGAAAACCATAGGTCTAGAAACTCCTTTTGCATAAATATTTACGGTTAAGTTTTTCTAATTGACTGTTGTAAATTGTCCTACTTAAAATGTAGTTGAAAATTCTTGCAAGACATCTGCAGAGATGATATAAATCACTACCCAATTTTTTTTTAAAATTCTAAATCGGAAATAATACATTATTGTGTTCTTAAAATGAATCATAACTATTTTCAGGTTTTAGTAAGTGGAAATTATACATTTAAAAGGAAATAAAAATTGAAACATAAGTTTTAAAAATTCTTTCATCAGAATTTTTTATAGAAAGGTAGTGTAGTAACATCTCTGCCGACAACTATGTCAAGTCATAAAATTTCAAATACATACATCATTTTTTTACAAGTTTTTTTTCTTATTTATAAAATATAATTTCATTTTTTACTAAAATAAAATTTGCAAGAAAAATTAATTTTACAATACAATTTAAAAAAAAAACATTTTCATCTTAATTGCTATTGCGCACTGTTTTTTTAACATGGAGCTTAGTAAACTTTAACAGCTTATAAAGGGTCTCTTCGACTGAAATATAACAAATCTCTACTACCAGAATGAGTAGTAGATAAATGTGAATAACACCACATTGTATGTTTGATATCATGGTAAACAAAAACACCCTACACCACCAGCAGTTTGTCCAAGTCAACAGCCACGCCTACCATGTTCACCACCATCTCTACACCAACTAATGACTTGTGGATATATAGCATATGTATATATATATATATTATGTTTATGTCTATCTACAGTGGGTATTGCACTTCAAATATCAGGAAAAAAAGTATCAATCAAAATAATTAAGTTAAATTTATCAAGAACAAATAAATTAAAAGTTAAAGACAGATAATTGTGTTCAAAGCACAATAACTAATCTAGAAATAATATAATATGTAACTAGTTCTGTGTCCACTACATGTTTGTTGCTTTTATGTTGTGTTATTACGTAGTTACTCGATTTGATAAAAGCTAATACAAAACTGAATGGAGTACAAAAACTGTTTTGGTATCGAGAACATATTGAAGACTTTGATAAGAATTTCGGATTCTTCTTTTCTTCATGACACTAAAAAACAGGTAAGTACTTTAAAATTGTAAGCCTAAAACATGAAACAAAACCAATGGCCAAAACTTCCAAAATATCACAACAAAGGTTGAAAAAAAATTCTTAAAATTTTAAACGAGATAAAAGTATATACATAGAAAAAGGAATAAATCTTTGACGAGTCATGTTAATCATAATCGCAGGAAATTTTTGTGGTATCTTCCTTTGGATGTGATGAACTCAGGATGAAAGCTGATGATGAAATCCTAAGGCTGGTGTTGGGAAAAACATTTCTGACTTGTCTCTGTTCAATGTTTTTTTTTTCCATTGTGTCCAACTAGTTATACTCCAAAAATGTATGGTCCACAAGTAACACAGTTTATGCACACTTGAAATTCACACCAATGATTCACTGTACATTAAATCTCTGAAATCTTCATCCAGCTCACTGCCATTTATTTGACAGAAATGTTGGCGTGTTTGAATACAATGAGCAGAAAATCTACACAAATCAGAGGAGTCATGGACAACCACGTACAATTAGTATGACATTAATGTGTCAACGACATTTGAATGACACTGACATACAGTGACATTTATTTCAGCAGTCCAAGATACACATACACATGTGTAATAAACTCTTAAAATATTCCCACTTTTCCAGTCTGTTTTTAAAGAAGAAAATGGTTTTAAATATCTCGACAGCTTCAAAAAACGTGAAAATATTATAATCTTCTTTTTGAGAAGCAGTTGCCGCAGTAAAAAAATATCAACATCTTTATAACTTAAGCTCACAGCACTTGTAGTATATATTTCATTAGCACATTGAAATAAGCTTCGGCCAACAAAACAACGGCCAACAGGTTCAAATTATGCACACACATATCTTCAAACAAAACAGGCAAAGATGAAAAAAAATTGTAGTGCCAGAAACATCTTGTGACTTTTTTGGCTTCACTACTGGAAAGTTATCTGCCCAAATTAAATGGTTTTGCACCAAGCAGAATTCTTGCTTTGCCATGAAATAATAAGGTATCTGTTTATATGTAAACAAACAGGAGCAAATTTTAGTAGTTTAGTTTAGAACTAAACAATTGAAAATAAAATCTCCAAAACTTTTAGCATGCAAGAGTGAAAGCTGCCAGCTAAGGGGTAAAATTATGCAACAATGAAAGGTTAAGTCCATCCATTCATGTAGTGCTGTGATGGCAGACTTGCCACATTGGCTGACTTGACATTGGTCAGGCCAAATGAATAGTGTTGACACTACACAATGGTAAAATCTTCAGTATATCCTTTGTCAGGTTTGCCCTCTTTCCCAACTCTGGTGTCCATTTCTGTTTCTTCCTCAGGTACAGGCCGGTAGTGTCTGAGGAAACACACGTTTTTTTATAGCTTGATTCACATTCAGATTTTTAAGAATATTCATTTCATTTCCATACTTAAGTCAAGATTTAAAAAAAGGATAGCCCTAGGTAGAACTATTTTAAGGAAGTTAACAATAAGTTCATTGGAAAAACAACTTAGTGTCAGATTGTAAACAAACTGGACGAACCTAGTATCATCTGGGACTAGAGTGTAAACAAACTGGATGAACCTAGTATCATCTGGGACTAGATTGTAAACAAACTGGACAAACCTAGTATCATCTGGGACAAGATTGTAAACAGACGTACCTGTCAAGCAAGCTGACAGATTCCTCCTCCTCTGGAGAAGTGGCTAGGGCTGGATGGGCCAGTGAAGTGACTAGTGGACGGTGGTCATCTGTTCCAGGTGTCTGGATATTGGTGTCATAGCGGACCCTGGCATGGGGTGTCCTGCGACCACCTGTTGGTAAACACAGCTTAAGTTGAGTATACTCTCACATGTTTAGTTTAGGATCTTTTACTACACTGTGATAAGTAGCAGAACCAAAATATTTTTGTTAACCTATGACTGAATGAATCTGACTGTCAGCTGACATACCTCTTCTGGCTCGGCCAGTTTCAGAACGGAACTCAACAAAACCTTCCTGGACGACAGTGGCGGTGGCCGTGGCGTATGGGGGGTAGTTCTCTGGGCTGTTGGACCTAGGGGTCTGGGCGCGCTCTCCAAATGTGTAGGTCACTTCTTCACTGTTGGTACTGGTGGTGCTGGTCCCACTCTGTGTCCTGGAGACAAGAAGACAATATAGTGTCAGTGGGAGAGAGACAACATGGCGTCAGTGGGAGACAATATCAGTAGATTGTTGACAAATTAAATGGGAGGGGCAAGGAAGATGTCGGAGAAAAGCATGGACAGGAGGAATAGGATGAAACTAGTGGTATCCCAAGGTTCCATCTAGGATACAGACAGGAGAATGATGGTCTCACTTAGGATACTAGTGGTACCCCAAGGTACCATCTAGGATACAGACAGGAGTATAATGGTCTTACCTCGGCATAAATGTTCCCAGTGGCCTCTTGCCTGTCACCTGCCCCCTCTGCTTGCCACGGTGACGGGGCCGCACTTTTCTTGGTGGTAGTGGCCGTCTGAGGGCCGTTGTCGGGGCCTCATTGGTGTCACTCTCCACCTCCATCCTTTGTGGCCGTCTCCGCTTTTCTGTCATCCAAAAAAATAATAATTATTAACTACCTGCAAATGTGTCTTGTTTTGTACATGTGCAGTAATATTGGCTTTCACACACAGTATATGGAAGCCAGAATACTTGCATCTTTAAGCAGAAGTAAAAGCAAATCTGTTACAGATCCTACCATTTCCATCCTTCTCCCTTCCTCAACAAAATAATCTTATTTAAAGACTAGGAAACTTTTAATAAAGATTTACAATTGATACTAGGTTCATCTTGACTCTAGTGGCTAAACCAGTGTATGTGTGTTAGGGTTAAAGTCACAACTTACGTTGTTGCTCGTATGCCGGGACCTCACAGGACGCTTGTCTCTGCTCGTTTGGTTTTGGTGGGGACTGGGTAAACATTCGGATCCCAGGTTCTGTTGTTACCTGAGGTACACAAGGTTATCATAGGTCAAATTATTTGTATGATTTTTAAAAAATAAAAGTATTAACAGATAATATAAAAAATACTTAATATTTTCAGAAGACAGAATGTGACAGATTGTGTGACATGGACTGGGTCACCCACCAAAGATTGTGTGACATGGACTGGGTCACCCACCACAGAATGTGTGACATGGATTGGGTCATCCACCACAGAATGTGACATGGACTGGGTCATCCACCACAGAATGTGACATTGTGTGACATGGACTGGGTCACCCACCACAGATTGTGTGACATGGACTGGGTCATCCACCACAGAATGTGACATGGACTGGGTCATCCACCACAGAATGTGACATTGTGTGACATGGACTGGGTCACCCACCACAGATTGTGTGACATGGACTGGGTCACCAACCAAAGAATGTGACAGATAAAAAACTCACAGAGCTATCCGTAGGCTGTGAGCTAGAGTCCGGGTCAATGTCCCCCTCAGTGCCACCATCTTGGTGTGGGTCATTCTCACTCTCGTACAGCACAGGTGGGGGCGGGTTCCTTTTGGCGTTCTCCAGGGCCTCAAGTAGTTCATCCCTGCTGGAGGATACTGTGGTCACACTGGAGATTAGGCTGTGTCTTTGGGAACCTGTGGGGTAGAGAGGATTATGGGTAATTGGGGAATGTGAGAACCTGTGGGGTAGAGAGGATTATGGGTAATTGGGGCGTGTGAGAACCTGTGGGGTAGAGAGGGTTATGGGTAATTGGGGCGTGTGAGAACCTGTGGGGTAGAGAGGGTTATGGGTAATTGGGGAATGTGAGAACCTATGGGGTAGAGAGGATTATGGGTAATTGGGGAATGTGAGAACCTATGGGGTAGAGAGGATTATGGGTAATTGGGGAATGTGAGAACCTATGGGGTAGAGAGGATTATGGGTAATTGGGGAATGTGAGAACCTGTGGGGTAGAGAGGATTATGGGTAATTGGGGAATGTGAGAACCTATGGGGTAGAGAGGATTATGGGTAATTGGGGCGTGTGAGAACCTGTGGGGTAGAGAGGATTATGGGTAATTGGGGCGTGTGAGAACCTGTGGGGTAGAGAGGGTTATGGGTAATTGGGGCGTGTGAGAACCTGTGGGGTAGAGAGGATTATGGGTAATTGGGGCGTGTGAGAACCTGTGGGGTAGAGAGGATTATGGGTAATTGGGGCGTGTGAGAACCTGTGGGGTAGAGAGGATTATGGGTAATTGGGGCGTGTGAGAACCTGTGGGGTAGAGAGGATTATGGGTAATTGGGGCGTGTCTTTGAGAACCTGTGGGGTAGAGAGGATTATGGGTAATTGGGGCGTGTCTTTGAGAAGCTGTGGGGTATAAAGTGTCAATCTGACACATACATTAATGTATACATAAACTTGACATACACCTTTTTGTACACAAACTTGAAAGCGTTAATCTGACACATACACCTTTGTGTACGTCAACTAACCACTCACCTTTGTCTGTAGACTCTGAGCCAGATTTCATACTGCTGTGTGGCCGGGAGGGCTGGGAGAAGAGGGCGTGGATCTGGTCGGCGCTGGCGTAACGGCGTGGGCTCAGGATTACCCCTGTGAGTGATGTGCGAATAGATGTATTACAAGAGTTTCATGTCAATTCATGAATGTACATTTCAGATAAATAAGCCAGGTAAATTAAGACTTTTTACATTCACAGTGTCAGAGCATACCGTGGTTGTCATAGCCTTCTTTGTTGACTGGGTCCTTCTGGGCCCGTCTAGGTGCTGGCAGGGGAGGTGGTGGCTGTTTCTTGGTGTACTTGGCTTGCTTCTCTCTCTTGGAGTGGAAAAATGGAACATACGGCTCGGAGGGTGTGGACTGGGTGGACTGCTTGGACTGGTAGTCCTCCATCTGACAGGGGAGGTAATACACACCGTTAAGGGAGGTAAACAACACACATAAGGGAGGTAATCAACACCATTAACCCTGAAAACGCGTCAAGCCACGATGGTGGCTTTGCTGTTAAATAACTTACAACGCGTAAGGCCACGTGGCGCACGCTTTAAGGGAGGTAATCATCACCAGTTAAGGAGGTAAAGAATACCATTAATGGAGGAAATCAGTATTGGTAAGGAAAGTTTATACTAAGAGTGGATGTTGTAATCAATGAATTTGTTTTTGTGATTTACAGTACCACATGTAACTGTCAATATTGATAAATACTGGCTTTATAAAAAAAAAAATTAAAACATTGTTTATCTTATACCTGGGGTTGTTAAAAAAATAAAATGAACCCACCTCTCTCCTGGCCGCGGCCTTCTGCATGGCAATGTCATCCTCCTCCGATGAAGATTTGGGTACAGCGGCTCCCTTCAGGGGTATGGTGGTCCTGATCTCAGGGTTAAACGTCTGCTTGATTTCATTGTACGTGGCGTACGGGTTGATGTTTCCTTCATCTTCTGGAACATGTTTACCCTAGCATTACTCTTATCAACATGTTTACCCTAGCATTACTCTTATCAACATGTTTACCCTAGCATTACTCTTATCAACATGTTTACCCTAGCATAATACATCAAATCATTTTTATCAGGTACATATAACACTATGAATGCTTTAAGCCACAGATGAGTAAGTCTAATGGAGCTTAAACAGGCTGTTTGTTTCGAGTTAATTGTTTTATTGGTGACTAATTGATTAAGGGATATGTGTCCACTACGTCTGGACATCAATAATTACCTAGGAAACAGGTGACACTAGCAGGTCACTAAGTCCCCTAGAAACCTAATTAAATCCCAATTATAGACTTCTTCTTCTTCGTTCTTAATTTTTAGTGTTGGAAGGGATCCCCCTCCAACACAATTAACAATTAAGGATACATGTCAACTGGTTATGCGCCATTGAGGTCATTGACTCCGATTTCAGCCGGCTTTTCTTTTTGGATTTGTTTTCACAGCCTTTGTCTAACCAAGAACAAACTACAAGCAGCCTTGAGCTTTACCGACTTGACCACGCCGACCCCCCCCCCCCCCCCAGACAAAATGTGATATTTTATTTATAGTAGGTTTTGTTATGGAAGAAATCTTTAGCCCAGTCCAGCTAGACAGCTGCCCAAAACTTTAGCCCAGTCCAGCTAAACAGCTGCCCAAAACTTTAGCCCAGTCCAGCTAGACAGCTGCCCAAAACTTACCAGAACGGCAGAAACTTCCGTTGTCGCTTGTGGTCTTGTTGCTGCCGTCTATGAGCCAGGCGCTGCTGTTGCCGGGGAGGTTGTCGTCACTCTGGAGTGAGATCAGCAGGTTGGCGTTGCGCTGTTTGCTGATGTGGTCGGGTAGGGTACTGCTGCTGCTGCTGTCTAGCTCAGTGTTTAACCTTTTGTCAAGGTCGTTCATGAGCGACGTCTCAGCCGTGATGTCACGACGAAGGTTGGCAGCATGTTCTGAAAAACGTCATTTAACCAATTAATTTAAATAATTAAAAAATATATAATGGATGTGAAACAGGCAGAAATCAACCAGACAATAATGTTGTCAATATTTAGCAGTATCCATAAATACCTTTGTATCGCAGTCTGTCCTTCCTGCGTCGACAGAACAAGAACATGGCCACAGTGACAGAGAAGAGGAAGACGACGGCAGCACAGATGGGCACCATGAAGTAGACCTTCTCGTAGAACTCTGACTCCTGCTTGTGGAGGACCTTCAGTGGCTTGATGGTGCCTGAAACACAGATAGGGATGTTAGGTCATCTGGTGATTTGTGGCTTGTGATGGGTCATCTGGTGATTTGTGGCTTGTGATAGGTCATCTGGTGATTTGTGGCTTGTGATGGGTCATCTGGTGATTTGTGGCTTGTGATAGGTCATCTGGTGATTTGTGGCTTGTGTTAGGTCATCTGGTGATTTGTGGCTTGTGTTAGGTCATCTGGTGATTTGTGGCTTGTGTTAGGTCATCTGGTGATTTGTGGCTTGTGTTAGGTCATCTGGTGATTTGTGGCTTGTGTTAGGTCATCTGGTGATTTGTGGCTTGTCATGGGTCATCTGGTGATTTGTGGCTTGTGATGGGTCATCTAGTCATTTGTGGCTTGTGATGGGTCATCTGGTGATTTGTGGCTTGTGATGGGTCATCTGGTGATTTGTGGCTTGTCATGGGTCATCTGGTGATTTGTGGCTTGTCATGGGTCATCTGGTGATTTGTGGCTTGTGATGGGTCATCTAGTCATTTGTGGCTTGTGATGGGTCATCTGGTGATTTGTGATGGGTCATCTGGTGATTTGTGGCTTGTGATGGGTCATCTGGTGATTTGTGGCTTGTGATGGGTCATCTGGTGATTTGTGGCTTGTGATGGGTCATCTGGTGATTTGTGGTTTGTGATGGGTCATCTGGTGATTTGTGGCTTGTGATGGACAAACTTTTTGAGCTGTGTTGCTACATAGCAAGAGTTCAATGTTTCTTTACACTATCCTCAAACTCAAGGAAACATTTGTTTTGGGCTTAGACTTAAGATCAGGCTAGCTTCAATATATGGCTCATCTGTAGGAGGTCCACAAAGGTTAGCTAGACAAACCCTGACCAACATACTCAACTTCATATGCTGTCAGAACTAAGGTCACTTCATTCACTTTGGGTTCAACTCAATATAGTGATTGATAGTTTAATTTGCCTTGGTAAATCAGAGCTGATTGTTTAGGATATATTTTTAAATCACGATCACAAACTTATCTTGCTATTATTCTAATACCCCCCACCTCCCCTACCCAGCAAGGGTGTGACCGTACCCCCCCCCCCCCCCCCAGTGAGAGCAGAGCATTTACTCACTTCCAGAAAAGGTGAGAGTGGCAAACTTGAGCTGGCTTGTAGAAGAGCCCGCGTCACTGTGTGCCACCACATCCATGATGTACCAGGTCGCTGGCTGCAAGTCTTGGATGATGAAAAGTGTCTGGATGGGGAAATTTAAGGGAACAAACTTTATCAAAAGTTATAAATATTAAAAATTCTCTATTTTAAATGTTCACAATTTTTATTAAAAAATTATCAGTTATAAAAAATCTTATTTTTAAAACTCAGTATTTTTTAAGTTCTTTATTTCATGGTAATCAATTCTGGTTAATTCAAAATATATAAATAATGAAACATTATTTCAAGTACTAGGTAGGATAGAAATACCAAATCAAAACTCTTTAGTGTAAAAAAATATGTTGTTCTATAAATCTATTTTTAAATAAGGTCACAGTGCAGTATAAAATCAGAGTGTAGTAGAAGGTCAGAGTGCAGTAGAAGGTCAGAGTGCAGAATGAGGTCAGAATGAAGCACTTACAGTGTTGGGCTGTATGTTGTTGTTGACCAAGGTTTCATTAGGGAAGTCCCAGGCCCTGTAGCTGACAGAGAAAAACCTGATGGGACAGCCGGAGGTTTGCCAGTAGCTCAGGTTGAGGGTGACGGAGGTGGCGTTGACAGAGGCCAGCAGCATGCTCTGTGGGGGTGTGATGGGGGCTGTGGAGGGGTGCGACACACGTTAAACATTTAGTGATGGGGAGCTTGGGTACACTTTTTTTAAAAGTTCAAAATAAAGCCACCAATTGTAAGTTTTATACAAACAGATAAATAAAAAAATAAAAAATCAATTTAAAAAAAGGTGTATAATTTTTTTTATATAAATGATGGACATCTTTAAAAACGTATTAATATACAATATAACCTTTATCACTGGTAGTCAAACAATTATTCTGCAATCCAAACTGTACCACGGGTAACAAAGACAATTATTGTGTGACCCACCTGAGCTAACATTACCACAAACAATTATTGTGTGACCCACCTGAGCTAACATTACCACAAACAATTATTGTGTGACCCACCTGAGCTAACATTACCACAAACAATTATTGTGTGACCCACCTGAGCTAACATTACCACAAACAATTATTGTGTGACCCACCTGAGCTAACATTACCACAAACAATTATTGTGTGACCCACCTGAGCTAACATTACCACAAACAATTATTGTGTGACCCACCTGAGCTAACATTACCACAAACAATTATTGTGTGACCCACCTGAGCCAACATTACCACAAACAACTATTGTGTGACCCACCGGAGCTAACATTACCACAAACAATTATTGTGTGACCCACCTGAGCCAACATTACCACAAACAACTATTGTGTGACCCACCAGAGCTAACATTACCACAAACAATTATTGTGTGACCCAACATTACCACAAACAATTATTGTGTGACCCACCTGAGCTAACATTACCACAAACAATTATTGTGTGACCCACCTGATCCATTAGTCCTAGCTGTCACAGTCTCCGAGTCCAGCCCGTCCCCCAACTTGTTGAAGGCGTGAATGGTGAACTTGTACTGGGTCCCACACATCAGGTTGTTGGCTATGAACGTTCTGTTCTGGGGTCCCAGGTTCAGAGATTTCCAACCATTGTGTTCTTTCTTGTAGTTCAAGACAAACCCTATTGAAACAACAATTGTCAATATGAAATGAACTTTGACCTGGGTAGATAGTTCTGATTCAATTCTGCTCTAATTACAAATTTAAATTAATGCAGTTTTAAATATTACATAAAGACTGTATAAATCTGTTTAAAAATTCATTGTAACTAATTTAAATATAAAATTAATTGTTGAAAATATTTGAAAAAAAAATATTTTCATATTACTTACTTTTAGTACTTAACCACCATTCATTTTAAATTATAAAACTAAGAAAAAGTTCTTTGGGTATAGGCAGGAATTTTACACTTAATCAGTCAAGTTTTCTTTAAAGGTCTTATAGACCGGCGTCTTGTATTTAAAAAGGTGTACCGGTGCCTTACAGACAGGTAAGAACGTACCTTGGATAGGGCTGCCTCCGTTGCTGCCTGACAACCAGTTCACCTGGATGGTTGTCGTTGTAGTTAGCACAAGGTACAGGTGGGGAGGCAGAGGTGGGGCTGTAATTGGAGGAAAGGTTCATCATGAAATTTGTGCAGCTCTAAAAGCTAACTTGTTTATATATCTCAAAAAAAAACACCAAACAAAAACAGAATCATGTTTAATGAAAAAAATAATTGTTCTTTATATTCTGACACAGCAATATATTTTTAAATATATAGAAATATTACTTTACAAGCTAGAAGAGGTAAAAATTGGATCAACATATAATGATTGAAACCGATTGCATAGGCAAAATTAAAAAAAAATTGTACTTACTGCCTTTGTGGTCTCCAACTGCAATGAAAAAATGTTTTAAAAATATTAGTTTTTATAAATAGGATGTTTAAGCTATTCTTATTTTATTTGCCGCAATTATAAAATGTTAGGTTTTATAAATATGTTCACATTTTTTAAAATTTTATTTACTGCAATTATAAAATGTTAGGTTTTATAAATATGTTGTTTAAAATTTTTAAAATTTTATTTACTGCAATTATAGAATGTTTTGAAATATTAGGTTTCATAAATATGATGTTTTATTTATTTTGATTTTATTTAATGCAATGATAAAATGTTTTAAATAATAAGTTTAAATTATTTTCATGCAACTTTTAAATCACAAAAAACCTGTGACACTGACCTTGAACCCTAAGTGTGTATACCACTGTGCTGCTGCCGTGTGGGTTTTCTGCGTGACATGTGTAGTTGGCAGCGTCAGTGCCAGTGACAGATGAAATGTGGAGGGAACCGTCTTCAGTGACCCAGATCCTGTCTGAGTTTGTTATTGGGAAGTTTCTGGAAAACAGAAATTTTAGAATTAAACTCTGGCAACTTTATATGATTACTCTTATAATTTTATAGACATTCATTTGTCGGAATTTTAAAAAATGTGTTGGTATTTGAAAGCATGTAATTATTTGAAAGCAAGTTGATAATTGTTTTAAAAGCTTATTATTTTATTTTAAAACATTTTAATAATTATTTTTAAAAGCATATTATTTTATTTTAAAACATTGTAATAATTATTTTGAAAAGGCTATTATTTTATTTGAATGCACTTTGATATCTGAGAGTAAGGGGGTGTAAATCTTAGCATACCTGACTCTCCACTGAACAGTAGGCTTGGGCTTGCCGACAGTGACGCATGGCAGGATGACATCTTCATGCCATGACACTGTCATCACCTCAGAGAAACTTGCTATTCTGGCTGGTGCTGGAGACATGAGAAACAAAGTTGTAACCCATTGGTTGAGCTCCCAAATTATTATCTCTAATGTTTATGCTCTAATTGCTTAGCAACCAAATTGTAAAATAAAAAACTATAAAAACAAAATCATAATTATTTTAATATAAACTTTAAAATTTTGTGATGTATTTTTAATTCACTTACTTAAAATAGTAAGGCGAACAATTAGTCCTAAACATGTGAACTTAAGCCTTGTTGCAGTAAACATATCCTGAACCACGTTTGAACCTAACATGTACTGCACCACATCGATGGTAAAGCCAACTCACCAACAACTAGCGTGCTGCTGCCAATATATTTTGTACTCTTCCCCTCCCCCATGGCCGTAGATGCTGTCACCCTAAAAGCGTAGTCCACCCCACGGGCCAGCCCTCCCATCATGTAGTTTGTCACATTTGGTGACAGTTCAAACAACACGTCAGTCACCTGAAACATGGAACCAATTTTTTAAAGCTGACACGTATTTCAAATTAAGTAAAAAAAGCTGGTAGTATTCGTTATCCTAAAGAATAATTAAATTTTTTTTGACAATGTCATTATATACACCGTCACAAAAACCAAGTTCAGAATTTCGTAATGTTTAATATTACAAAACTTTTACTTCTAATATGTTAAGTGTGGTCTATCTTCCGCGTTACACTGTACAACAACACAAACACAAAGCTTGACTGACCTCAGGAGAGCTCTCATTGTTGAAGTACAGAGAGTACTTTGTGATGATCCCATTGGGTCTGGCAGGCTGGGTCCAGGCAACTATGATGGCGCTGTCATTGGTTGCCAGTGCAATTATATTTGAGGGTGCATCAGGAACTACAACACAATAGAAAATAATGAAGTAAACCGACAAACCCTTTATAATATTTTGGTATTTTGTTATAACTAGAATAACTGACTTTCACTCCTACATTGATTAACTAATTTTAATAATAACAATAATTATATGTACACATTATTTTTTAATAAGAATCATGAGAAATATTCAAATGTAATATTTTACTTTGCACTATGTAAAAACAGTAGTGTTTTAAATAAGAACTTGATGCAACTGACGTCAATATTTAGAGTCCATATTTTAAAGCAGCTTGATATATATTAGACAAGAGACACGTACCGTCTTCCCTTGTACGAACATAGACAGGAGTGCTGCGGACACCCTCCCCCTTCCTTGTGTAGGCCAGGACCTGGATGCTGTAGTTTGTGAACTTCTCCAGGCCAAACAGGACAATCTCAAGCTGGGAGGACGTCTGGAAGTTGGCGTCACTCTCATCTGACACACAAAAGGGTTAAGGTTTTATTTAAGTCACAAACAAAGGGTTAAAGTTTTATTAAAGTCACAAACAAAGGGTTAAAGTTTTATTAAAGTCACAAACAAAGGGTTACAGTTTTATTAACGTCACAAACAAATGGTTAAAGTTTTATAAGTAAAGGTTATAACAAAGTAGTCACATAAAAAGGGTCAAAGTCTTATCAGTCAAGACACTACTGAAAAATTAATTATAATAACTATTGTAAAATTAGGTAAATGAAAATGTGTATGTTAGATATTTGGGAGTATTACACAGTGTGAGTACTTGATGCCCACTATTGTCTCATCACAGCTCTGATGTGACTGGGTTGCCAATGAAGTTATTACATCAGGGGACATTACTGACCTATCCTTAAACTACACTTATTTCCCTTACCTTCATCAAGTCTGACTGGCTTGTACAGGATCTTGTAGCCCTGCAGTATGCCATGTAAGGTGAAGAGGGGTGGGGGCGACCAGAGGACATTACTGACCTATCCTTAATCTACAGTTATTTCCCTTACCTTCATCAAGTCTGACTGGCTTGTACAGGATCTTGTAGCCCTGCAGTATGCCATGTAGGGTGAAGAGGGGTGGGGGCGACCAGGCCACCTTGATGCTCTCAGAGCTCAGGGGGGTGGCTTGTACTCCCTCGGGGGGCTGGCTGGGCACTGTGGGAGGGAGGGGAACATTTCAAATACATGTACACTCAACTCCATGATACATATTCTAATTAAAAACTCAAGATATAAGGGAGACTTATTTTGTAGCTTAACATAACTGTCAGCCTAGATGTATTGCCATAATCTCAATACATAGAGTACTATTATAGTTAAAACAGAAATATCCTATGAAATGTATCCTGTGCTCTAAAAATTAAAACTCACCATCCTCCAGAGTGAAGACATTGAGATTAGCTGAGGCTGGACTGATGCCTTTGATGTTGTAGGCCTTGACGTGCACCGTGTACTGGGTGAACTTCTTCAGCTTACTGATGGTGTGTTCTGTGGGAGCTTTGGCTGGGTCCATGCCCTCTGGTACCTCATGGGTCTGGTAGATGAACTGGGCGGGGCTCTGGGTTTCTTTGTACCCGATGTAATACCCCAGGATTTTTCCATTCTGGTAGCCTAAGACTGGCGGCTGGGTAGATATGGCATACATTAGTCAGCTAGTTGAGGTATGTTAAACATTGGAAACAGAAATTTATATCTTATTTAGGGACAGTCAAAATAGCAGAGTTTAAATTTGAGTGAAATTATTATTTTAAGAGGCAAGTGAATCCTTAATGATGGCAGATGATTGTTTTTTAAATTAAAAGATGAGTTCATTTTTTCTCCCTCGTAACATTATCTTTGGGTAAAGCAGAACTAATTTCATTTGTGTGATATGGTAATTAAAGATAACTGATTTTTTCTTTAGCAAAACTGTTTATATATTGCTAAAGAGCAATATAACTCCAGTTATTAATAACTGTGTGATGACAACATACCTCCCACATGACCTTGAGTGCTTGTGAACCAATGGCCTGTACAGTCACTCTGTCGGGGGGTCCAGTTGGTGCTAGACAGAAAAATTTTGGACAAATTATGGATACAGTTCATGTCAATGTAGGCTTTATGAATTCATGAATAATCATTAACAAAGATACATTTTGTCTTTAGCCATAAAAAAAGTCTCAACAAAAAAATAACATTAGTTAGTTTTATTTTACACACCCAGACAGGGTAAAAATTAAAAACAAATCATTCTTCCTCTAAACTAGTCTCAACTATGTCACTAAAATTAAAAACCTAATCACCTTCTTCCTCTAAAGTCGCCTCGACTATGTTACTAAAATTAAAAACAAATCACCTTCTTCCTCTAAAGTAGCCTCGACTATGTCGCTAGGCTCGCTGTAGCCCACTGTGTTGTTGGCCAGCACGCGGATGTGGTAGGTGAAAGATGGCAGCAGGTTGGTCAATAGCGCCACCTGCTGGTTGAGCCCCACTGAGATATTTGGCAGGATGCCTTGCCAGACATCTGACATACAAACAGGAATGATACAGCATTTTGTTGCACATTATCAAGTGTGAGAAGGTACATCCTAGCATTTTGTTAAACATTAGCAAGTGTGATATGGTACATCCTAGCATTTTGTTAAACATTATCAAGTGTGAGAAGGTACATCATAGCATTTTGTTAAACATTATCAAGTGTGATAAGGTACATCCTTTTGTAGACATACAGAGTGAAACAACAGAGCATTTTTGTAAACATATCTACAGATTACAACATTTTTGTAAACATATTTACAGATTACAAAACTAAAGAACGTTATTTATTAAAAAATTATTAAAAAAAGATATTTTAAGATTTTAAAGAAGTTTGTCACTAAACAATAATAATTCTATTGCTTGATGAACTGATTGGTTAATAAACATTATGGAACTAATTAGTTTACAAATGTCATTGAGCTAATTAATTACCTGTTTCATTCTTGAACTGGACTGTGAACCCAATGATGGGACTGTTGCCATCGAATGGAGTCTCCCAGGCCACCACCATAGTGCGGCTTGTGATGTTGCTGACTTTCACTTTCATTGGGGGCTCTGGGGGCTCTAGAAATGTGGAAACATATTGGTCACTCAGCTGCTACTTCATGGGGGGAGGGGGTTGTGTGAGTTTGGTCAGTTTAACACCATCTATAATACTGCATTATGTTTGTCAGACCCAACACTAATAATACTCTATGACTCAAAAATACCAAACAGGTTTTTAAATCGGTATCTAAAAGTTCTTAAATGTACCTTTACCCTGAATTAAAATCTCATTAGCACCCACCATGAATGGAAAAGTCACTGGTACCTACCATGAATAACAAGGTTGTTGACAAGAACTCCGTAGCCAAACTTATTCTTGGCGTTACACGTGTAGGACCCGGAATCTTCTCTGGTTGTTGGGTTGAGGGTCAGCTGGGAGAGCTTGCCCCGTGGGGTGGACTGTGACACGACATTAGCCCTGGGGATAAATTATTTCCCTTGAGTCAATACATTTGATCAAACTTTCTAGAACTTAACTCATCCCAACTCATTCAAAAAGCCAACTACTTTCACAACTTTGGAGTAGAGCCAAGCAAGAACTGCTCACCTGTCGTTGGTGTGTGAACTGATGGGAGCCCCTTTGAAACTCCAGGAGATGGAGAGTGGCTTGTCCCCCACAGCCTGACACTCCATTGTGATGCTCTGGCCCTTCATCACGGTGTAGTTGTGTCTGGGTTCATTGAAGCGTGCAGGTACTGTCAAGAAAATATTCAAACATTAGACTGTCATTTAAGGTTCATTGAATCATGCAGGTAATTTCAAAGATGTTTACTTAACACAATCAAGAAAACAAATTAAACAGCTACTTACTATGAACATTTAAATGAATAACTTTGCTAATGTCAAATCCGATTCCGTTGCTGGCATGACACAGGTAGTACCCATGATCCTCTTCTTTGGCGTTGTTGATGACCAGTGTCCCATTGTGGAACAGTTCACGGTGGTCCTGCTTGGGGTCAAAGGTCAGCTGCTGGTAGTTGCCAGGTGTCTGTCCTTCGGCTTTCTTCCAGACCACCTGCGGGTCAGGCGTGCCGTCTGCTAGACAGTCCAGCTGGACAGACTCGTGGAGGATGACGAAGGAATCTTCCGGCTCCATCACCCACCGTGGCGGCACTGGAAACAGAACACATTTTTTAATTAGAAGTGTAATTACTTGTATCAGTTTTAAATAATACAAGCAAAGTATTTTAATTTTTGGATGTCAATGAATTTTCCTTAATTAATAAGAATAGTGAAATTAGTTTTCTTAAACATTTTGAAACAATTAAAAAAGTGAATTTTCATTTTTTTTAAAAACTATTTAAAAATTATAAATTAGATTAAAAAGTAGACTTGTTATACAAAGAGAGTATAAAACTGACCATCAATGTGTAAGGAAGCCGTGTAGTTCACAGAAGCTGCTGCGTTGCTAACATAACATGTGTAGTTCCCATCATGCCTAGGGGTTGCTCCATTTATTGACAGAATAGAATAGTCACCCAATTGCTATGGGAAAGATTTTAAAAATTTTACCTTTAGTTTGCTAGTGGACTGAAAGGAAATTTAAAATGGAGATACACAAGTTTTCCAGGTAAAATGGTCTCTTGCTTGTCATTACCTGTATTCTAATACCCAGGTCCTGTGGGATGGCCCTGCCATCTTTTTCCCACTGAATGGTTATAGGGAGATCACCGCTGATAATGGCACAAGTTACAAGAATTCTGTCCCCTTGCTTGCGTTGTCGAAAATGGAATGGGTCAATAACTGGTGGCTCTGAGAGAAACATGAAACAGATTTTAGACAAATATTTCTTTTTTTTTCTAACAGCTGACTATAAAATAATTACCAAAATAAAAGCACAAACTATTCAAAATTAAGAAATTTCAATAAATTTTTTATTGGAGTTCTATATACTCTAGGTAATAAAAAACTTTAAACAGTGATCACTAATAATGGAAATTAATAACTAGGCAACGGTAGTCAATATTTTAGATGTCTATCTAACCAATGTATTTCCACTCGAAGCTCAGCCAAAGACCCCATGTTTTGTAAGACAAGTGTAAATGTTTCCACTCACCAACAACAGCGATGTGCATGTTCTTCTCCATCCCCAGCTTCTCCCTGTTGCGAGCCACACATGTGTACTGACCAGAGTCCTCCCTCTGGACATGTCGAATGACCAGTGTTCCATTGTCCAACACGCTCTGTCTGTGGTTGATAGGCAACTGTGCTGACCCTGGGAAGTACATTGATTCACAGTTTACATGGGTGGCATCAACAAATACCTAGACATTTACCCTGGCAACATAGGTAAACAACAAATACCTAGACATTTTATCTGGCAACATAGGTGGCCTCAACAAATACCTAGACATTTACCCTGGCAACATAGGTAAACAACAAATACCTAGACATTTTATCTGGCAACATAGGTGGCCTCAACAAATACCTAGACATTTACCCTGACAACATAGGTAAACAACAAATACCTAGACATTTTATCTGGCAACATAGGTGGCCTCAACAAATTCCTAGACATTTACCATGGCAACATAGGTGGCCTCAACAAATTCCTAGACATTTACCATGGCAACATAGGTGGCCTCAACAAATACCTAAACATTTACCCTGGCAAAAAAGGTGGCCTCAACAAATACCTAGACATAAACCTTTAAAAAAAAAAACTAACTTTGCCATCCTATCAAAGTTATCCTAGACAGCTGCCCTATCAAAAAAGTTACCTAGAAAAATATTCTATCCAATAGGTAACCTAGACACATACCAAATCAAAAAGGTAACCTAGACACATACCAAATCAAAAAGGTAACCTAGACACATACCAAATCAAAAAGGTAACCTAGACACATACCAAATCAAAAAGGTAACCTAGACACATATCATATCAAAAAGGTAACCTAGACACATGCCATATCAAAAAGGTAACCTAGACACATGCCATGTCAAAAAGGTAACCTAGACATACTATATCAAAAAGGTAACCTAGACACATACCATGCCAAAAAGGTAACCTAGACACACATCTCACCCATACTAACAGTACTACCTGGTACAATTAAACCAGAAACAAAGTTTAAAATGAATTTATTTGAGAGCTCCTACCTTTTGTCCACTGTATTGACTCCAGAGGATAACCTGAGACATAGCATCGCAGGGTCAGATCCTTGCTTGCTGTAGCTGTCACGTTTGGCATGGGCTTTATGAATGGGTTACCTGGGGATACAGGAGACGTATTTTTAGCACACCGAAGATTCACCGGATTAATCATGATTATAAATTACTTTCTTCATTATCTTAAATATGTAAAAACAATTTCTTTCTTTTTGCCCTAACACCTACCATAGACATTGAGCCTGTTTGTGTGACCTACCATAGACATTGAGCCTGTTTGTGTGACCTACCATAGACATTGAGCCTGTTTGTGTGCTTTGCTTGCCCAACTTTACTGGCCGCGTAACATGTGTACTCCCCACCCAGGGCCACCTCCACACGGGATATGTTGACGTAACTCATGACGTCACCCTCCATTGTCAGAAAACTGTTCCAGGCTATGGCTGGGTCCAAAGGTAAATCAGCGCCATCTAGTGACCAGGTCACCTGCAAACATGGTGGTTTATAAAATACTTCAGCTTTAGTTGGATTGTACAGAGAGGGTGTTGAATATTGTATTATAAAGTAATCAACATCTGGGTAGGCTCAGTGCATGGGGAACTAATTTTGTAAGATAAGAAATCACAAATAATTAAATAAGTACAAAGAAAATCAAGTTGCAAACATTCCATGTTACAGATTTGCATGTCTGATGCTCACAGGCTCATTAAGTTAGAAAACTGACAACAGACAATTTGTAGTGACATACCAGGGGTACTGGGTTGCCAGAGAACTTGCAATGCATTGTGACCTTTTGACCTGTCTGTACAAACTGTTCTTGGAAACCATCCAACAGTAGAGGCTGTGCAGCTGAAAGGCGGAAAAAAATGGTTTGAACTTTTTCCAAGGCTAGAAAAATCTTTCACAAATAATTTTATAGAATCAGCGCAACCTTTTTTAAAAAATTAAATTTTGTCAACTAGAACCCAACAGCATGCCGACAACGACACAACAGCTGTGCCACTATAACTCACCTCCAAGAGAAAGCTGCGCTGCCCCTTGAGCCGAGTCCCTGTCGTTGCCAATAAAACACTGGTACATCCCGTGGTCAGCCCTGCCCACATCTTTGACCACCAGCATCGTACTGGACTCAACGTACACACGTTTGCTCTCCACCAGCAGTTTACCATTTTTAAACCAAGCAATTGTGTTGATGGGGTGGCCGTAAGTCGTGCAGTTAAATAAGGCAGTGTGACCAGCGTCAACAATCTGATCTGATGGCTCAATGAGTACTGATAAAGGAGCTGTAAAAAATATTCTTATGTTTAATAAAGTTTAGAATTATTTTAATAGAAGATTTACAATATAAGATATTTTTATTTAATTCACCAAATTGAACAGCTAAGTTGTAACTATAATACTATTTTTTTAAGAAACAGCAGAAAAAATTATTTAACATAATTTTTAGTAAATGTGATAAGCAGAATAATAGGATAAGTGCAGTCATATTTATTGTTGTAAGTGGACTAAAAACTCTAACAGAGCTTTGGTTTCTAAAGTTTAAACCAGACGTTATTCTCTTACATGTAACAGTAAGCTGGGTTGAGGTTGAGTCGAGCCCATGGCTGTTGGCACCAGTGCAAATGTACTCGCCACTATCGTAAACTGTAGCATTTCTGATATACAAGTTGCTTCCTCGCTGTGCCAAGCGCCAGCCATCAATAGCCAACGAGAAGCCATCTTTCTTCCATGTAAAGATGGGTGTTGGGTATGCCTGGCTGGCTACGCAGGGTAACTCAACTGTGTCGCCCTGACTTATGGTCACAGATGTGAGTTTGTCATCTATCTTTGGGCGGGCCCCTCCAGCTGGTGGTTCTGAAATTCAATTCAATTTTTTAAAATTCAAAACTTGGATTCCAAAATAAAAAGGAAAAAAGATGTATGGGTAAGTAAATTTAAATTTGACACCTTCCAACAAAATGGTAAAAATTGAATTATTAAGTTTAATGCAAGTAGCAATTATTGTCGAAATATCAGGACTAGGTATAATTATAATTATAGGTCCACATTAGTCATTTCAGTTATCTTATCCTAGCATCAAATGACCCAAAACAATTTAATATTGTGTTTTAAATTTATGCCAGCAGTTTGTATTATTGTAAAATTGCGATATCTCACCATGTAATCTTAAGGAAGCTCCTTTACTGGTTCTATTCTCTCCAGTGAGGACATTGCGTGTTACACAAGTATATAGTGCAGACAGTCCAGTGTCCTCTTCCTGGACATTCCTTATGTGTAGGACACCATCTGGGAGCACACTGATATTTCCATCTGCAAAATTGTTATTAGAGTTTAGATTTAAAAAAAAAATCAACTGCCAGTAATATTTACTGGTTCAGGTTAAATATTAAGTGTGACAATGGAGTGAATCAGTCTAAATTAAATGACTCTATCTAAAACTAAAAGGCAAGCCCAACTAAAGTCAAAGCCTCTAAACTCTAGTCTAAATGACTATTCACTAATGAGTACTAATGTCTAAAGTCTAGATATCTAGATCTAAAATCAAAAAATTTAGATCTAACTAAGTGATGTAAGATTTTAGTTGATGATTTGTATTTTGTAATGTGCACTTTTTTTCCCACTTTCTTGTCTTAGCTGAGTTTTCTCCTGTCCACGTACTCACAGTATTTTTTAAAAAAATCATGTTTCTTTCTCTTTGTTCTTTCTCATTTTTTGTCTTTAAATTTTTTCATTCTTCTCAAATAATACTAGATTCTAGATCTAGATCTATTAAACATCTCTATCTTAGTATCCAGAACGTTCCATTTTTTGTCTGGCCTAAGTTTTCAAACAAGAAACAAGTTTCAACTCAAAATAAATCGCAGTAGTTCCCCTTTACTTATTTGCATATTTAAAAAATGTAAAGCCTATTTAAAGATCTAATTTACCAAAAGGTATTTTACCTGAATACAGCTCTCTGTCACCTCGTGTCCATGCAATTACTTTAACGTAATCCGTGACGTAAGTTGGATTTATTGTACATCTCAGGACTGCTGTGCTACCTCTCATTACCCATTTGTCATTCAATGTCACTTCATAATTAGTATATTGTTCCACAAGGACTGAAAGTAAATGCATGATCCATATTTTAATTATTGAAAATCGAAGGGAATTTTGTAAACCTGTAGGCTAATATTTTCTTCAAGCAATCAAACATAAAAAAAAAAAATAATAATAATTAGGCTTATAAATTGATTTAATTTTTTTAGAGTTTAGAAACATAATCAAATTCCATTTAGGCAATGTTTAACTTCAATTAAGAAATTAATTCTAAATACCAAACAACTTTTTGTGTACAGTGGAGTTGTGGTTTGGGATCGTAACTTTTGTTAGGAGACATCTTTTTTATACAACTGTATTGTGGGAACAAAAGTCATTGCGTGACAACAAGCCGACGCCAAGCTGTTGTTATACGACGGTGCCTAGCAACACCAGAAAGGCCGACCAGGGACAATTAATTATATTGCATAATGAAGAGGGAAATGAGAAATAGCAAAACGCGAGATAAAGAAAAGTACAAGCGCCCATTGTTAGGTGCGAAACTAAAATGTCACGGATAAGCCACTGCACGTGCATATGTTTAAAAAAAATAAAGCCAAAAACGTTAATTAAATAAAAAACATTAAAGCCTATACGTTGATATTATTTCAAAACGTAGATCTATGTTCTAAAAGAGGTTTCACATAAGACATATTAAAGGGAGTGAGCTTAAAAACTTTAGAAGACTTCCAAGCATATTTGTATTGAAAGAAAAAAATTAGAAATCTTTGCTGGTGCAGTTTCACCCTAATTGACTTGAAGCCGTAAAACACCAAGAAGCAGCAGAACCCAGCTTCAACAGCCCCGGCTTCTGGATTTTCCTCGCTTATGCTATAGGATACAAGTGTACACCAAAGCACAATTAATGTGCGATAAGTATATTCAAATATTATTTCAGAATTTAACTTCAGATTTAAATAAGGCAAGTAAAAAAACCGATTGTGTGAATAAATTGTTTATATGACTACGATATCCTAATCCTGCATTTGACCCAGTTGCGAAATTCCCCGCCCTAACCCCCTCCCAGTGAAACTGCCTTAAACATCAATCTCTTAATTGTTGCAACACAATTTAATTGGTTTTTTTACAACCCTTGAAGCAGCATGAGTCCACACCCCCCCCCTCCCCTTCTCCTTTCCTTGAGTGCGATATGCAATCCTCTCTCCCCCTCCCCCCACCTCTGCCATCCTCCACATATCCGGTATCGATTTCCTCCCGTATCGATTCTTTGATTTAACATGTGCCAGTTCTCATCTTAACTTTTTCATTCTGTCTCTCCTTTCGTTGTACACTTTCACTGGGCACTGTTTTCAAGTGTCATATCTTTGGTTAATGAAACATAAATATCTCATTCATTTTATATACCTACTTGAGACACACATCGGGGATAGAAAAATAAAAAGCTGTTGATTATCAAAATACGGCTAGAAACAAAATCTCTTGATCTGAACCGTGTTGAAATCACTCCACCAATTTTAAAGGGGTTGTGTCTGTGTGTGTGTGTGTGGGGGGGGGGGGGGGGGGGCATTCTTGTCTCATATTATCATTCAAGAGCACCCCACCCCGACAATGGTTTCTTTCACATATATTTTTCCGACGGTTGGGGAGGGGGGGGGGGGGGGTCGGAGGCTGGTTCAAAATATATTTTCCATATAAATTATATACTTTTTTTTTCATTTCGTCAGAGGGGGAGGGGTTGGCAGACGTGCTCTGAGTACCCCCTCCACCCCGAAGGGATGCCTGAAAGAAACTCTGGCCACGCCCTCTTTTATACTCCTACAAACTTCTTTGTTTTTTTATGGAGTTTTTTTTTAACGAAATTCCACCCCATGGTTTTCTTTGTGTGAATGTCCCATGCAAATTAAAATGTGACGGGCTAGGCTGAAAAGTGAAAAAGAAATCCCACACGCACAGACTAGTGTATCAGTTGTCTGATTCTTTAAACTAACTAAACAGAAATAATGTGGCGAGGATTTGTTTAATTTTTTAACCCCACAACCCTAACCCAACAACTCTAATCCCACAACCCCACAACCCAAACCCTACAAACCTAACCAAACAACCCTAACCCCACAACCCAACCCCACAAACCTAACCCCACAACCCTAGACCCAAAACCCAAACCCTACAACCCAAACCCCACAAACCTAACCACACAAACCTAACCACACAGCCCAAACCCCACAACCCTATTCCTACAAACCTAACCACACAATACAAACCCCACAACCCAAACCCCACAACCCAAACCCCACAACCCAACCCCACAACCCTAAACCCACAACCCAAACCCCACAACCCAACCCCACAACCCTAAACCCACCAGCATTGACACAACCCTAAACCCACCAGCTTAGCCCTCTGCACATCCCAATGTGTCAAAAAACGATTAAAACCACTTTTAAAAAAAAACTTCCCTTCGAACAAAGACATTCCCTTCCCATGCAAAGTTCCATAACTCCAGCCCCACTGTATGCACGAAACTCATTATTTTTTTCTCTTTGGGACCTTATAATCAACGCCTTTAGAATCTCCATTCCATTCAACCCCCCCCCCCTCGCCCAATTCACCCACCCCACCCTGCATGTCATGCATATTCTACCCAAGGGGGGACAAATATTAACGACGTTACTGCACATGCCCAATGGTAATCTCCCACTGCATGTGTTGACCTCCAACCTTCCTTCCTTCCTTCAAGGCAAGAGAGTTCGTGGCAGTTGTTACATCATTCATTGCTTTATAGTCGCACATGTGTTCTATTTTAACATTTGTTACACACACGTGTACTTCTACCTGATATAGATCTAATATTACATGTAATGGAAACATGAATACAATCAAAGTAAACAAAACATATTTTTAAAAAAAAATGTTTACTATTTTATCCCCTGTGTAATTTAAAATATCCAATCTAGTTGAAAAAAGAAAGACTAAACCCCCCCCCCCACACACACACACAAAACTAGTTTTAAAATGATCCACACTATTTGAATACGATATCAGATTAAAGCTGCCCCCCCCTCCCTCCCTCTCATAAGCTGCTAATCAAAGTTAATGCGTGGTCAAACGAAAAGCATGATGTAAGCCAAGAATCCGATGCCCTTCATAATGCAGGGGAATCCGATGTCAAATACGTAATCAAAGGAGTTTTTTTTTGGAAATACCCACGGCCGAATAGAGGAAATACCCAATCAATTGCGGAAATACCCGAAAATAGTCAAAACAAGGAAAACGGGGGAAAGTGAATTAGTGGCAGTTTAAGGAAGCGGGGGTCGTCGTGACTATTATATTACTCGAGGAAGTAGCAGCTTACTGCAGGATTAGTCGCCGTGAGGGTCTGTGATTGGGTCAACCCAAACAAGATCGGGGGGATCTCATCTCAATAGCACCAGCCGGTTTTTTTTGGGGGGGGGGGGGGGGATTTTTCTAAGCACAAAGAGCGTCCTTCACCCAGCTCACACACTAATTCATTTCATGCTATTTGTTTCTGTTCCGGCACGAGAATCTTAACCCACCCCCTACCCTTCACTCTCCCCCCACCACCACCCCTACCCCCGGCCTGACAGGGTTCTTGTCCATAATTATCCCAGTCGTGCAATCGTCCCCCCCCCCCCTCCCTGATGTGCATGGTCTGATGTCATGGCGTCATCAAATGGGTGACTTTTAAAAAAAAATTCAAAATTGATTTTTTTTTTACACATTTTTCTCTTATTACTTAATCACTTGTAAAGATGGATTTTCTTTGTTAGAAATATTTCTCTGGTGAAACCAGGCTTCGGGAAAACACGGGATTGCTTTCCCGAGTGGTCAGTTGGGTTAAATACATTGTTCCAGTTTTGTTCCAGTTTTGTTCTAGTTTAGTCCGAGTCTGGTTTTAGTTTGGTTATAATTCTCTAATTTTCATCCATTAATTAAGCCGCTCTTCTTTACATACTTGCTGTGAAGTTTGGAGATTAGAGATTAGGAAAAGGGGCTGAATATTGAAGTGGTCACGTTTTATTAGTCAAGGCCGAGGGTTCAAAATTCACTGTATGAACGTTACAACGAACTCAACACTACTTTTAACACAATGTAATATATATATATATATATATATATATATATATATATATATATATATATATATATATATATATATATATATATATATATATATATATATAATGGAGGGGGATGTTAATTGTATCACATGACAATATAGTTTTAGATAGAAAATATATTTCTGGACCGGTATGGTCGGTTGGTATAGCGCGCGTGTTAAGTCTCCGACTCTAGCAAGACTGCTAAACCAAAAGTCTCGAAGTCGAATCCCGGACTAGAGTCCGTAAGACGTCATCGAGGACTCAGCTCTGATGAGTACTAGACTGACGTTAGGGCAAGAAAAGGCAGATGCACTCTACTCCATCTACCATCTCCGGAAGTGTAACTGACTCCGTTGTAATTTTTAATTTTTTTTTGTTTAAGCGCCATTAAATTACGTCATCAATCTGTTTTAATTATATATATATATTTTTAAAAGAACAACTAGTTATTCTGAATTCACTTTAACTTTTTAAAGACTAATATGTATGCACGACATATCAACATATTCGTTTTGCGTTGATTTTCTCCGATTCTAAATTTTAAAAAATCAATAATTAAAAAAACGTCGCTACACTGCTGGGTCGCGAGACTGCTAATAACTTTGAACACATGAGATGCGCATCTGATGAGATGTGAGTCAGACTGCAGCAATCGCATCCCCCGCGCCTAATGAATGCCTTAAGGAAGGAGTTAAGAGGACGTGGGTAGGGATTGAAAGAATGGGGGGGGGGGGGAGGAAATCTTGGCGTGACAGACAAGGATTGAAGAGCGATGATTTGTGTCACAGTGACTGGTGGCGCCCTCTTGGGCTGTTCTTTAATGACGGCGGTTAAACGCGTGCCTTGTTTTAAGTGGTGTGTGTGTGGGGGGGGGGGGGGGTTGTTGAGGTGGGGGGGGGTGTTTGTTGGGGTGGGATGGGGGTGTTAATGACTAACATATC